ATGAACACAAATAATGACCTAAAATAATGGTAGTGGATTACTTGTTTCCTGCTGTTTGAAAGAAATTATTTCAAATAGGTCATATTTCTAATTTATCTTCTCTAGTCATAGGTTCTGCTGTGCTTTATACTTGCATTTCTAAATATTCTTTAGTTCACTGTATGCTTGCATATTTATTTTTAACTTTGCTTATCTTTAAAATTGCTTGAGGAAAATAAAATGGTTGTGATTAATTTCTGCTACAGAAAAGCCACCTGGTACATTTTATCTTAGCGAGTTTTTTTTTAAATTCTAAACTGTAACTTTGTTCAGGAGAGGCTTTTGCAATGATAGCAGAGAATTGTACAAATGAAGTTAGTCACGGAGGTTCTCGTTGAAATGAACTTGCCATCTGATATGTATAGCAGTACACTTGAGTCTTTCTCAGTTTATTTTTGTAGATTAGCATTTGACCTGTAAACAGTAGTAGTTCACTTTAAGAAACTAAGGTAGCTGTACATACCTGGAGGTATCTGTTATTCAGCTTTTACAATGAGGGTAACTGTGTGTGACCCACTGAATGACCTAATAATGTTGATATTATGAGACCTGCACTTAGATGAAAAATAACTGATGACTGATTTTTTTTTGTATTAAAGGAATGAGAAAAGAATACATGAATCTGTTAATAAAACACTATGATCTACAAAATATGAAATGTTTCATAAAGGTCTAAGGAAATAAAGGAAATTTTAAAACAGGGTAGTCTTAAAATTTTTAGTTACATAGCAGTTTAGAAAGTAAAAATTGTTGACGTTAATGAAGAAACAAGATAAAACATCTCTGAATATATATATATTTTGATGCCAACATAGTAAATGAAATGCAAATATATTTTAAACAACTCTAATAAAGATTAAAAATGTAGCTTTCTGGGTTTTACCCCAACTTGCTGAATCTCTGGGGTGGAGCCTGCAGGCCTGACTGCATTTAACCTCTGCTGGTGATTCCTGTGCACGCTGACATTTGGGAACTGATGAAGTTACAAAGGAGTGAGCACTTCGCTCTGTAGCTGTGGAACCAACTCAGACATCTCGCTGCAGAAGTGACTCAAAGAGATGGGACCCAGTTGGAGTAAGGTAGAAAATGGATATATATTGGGCATCTACTTACCCACCAGTTGCTGTCCACACATTATCTGATTTAATCACTTTGAGGGTATATCTTTATTCTCTTCGTACAAATATGGAACAATCTTTCAATGTTAGTTGAATTTCCTATATAATTTCTGAATTAGTGGAAGTCACTTCTCCAGCTTAGGTCCAGAAACAGAAATGGGGCCATCAGGAACAAGTCCTTCATTCTGCTGTTGGCATTCACGCTGCCTGTGCTAGATTTACCAGGCTGTCTAGCTTGAACTTCCTGGTGACCATGTTTACTGTGGCAGCTAATTACATTTTGCCACAGAAATGAGTTTAGTGTAATTATATTCCACTAAATGACTTAAAGGAAATAATTTTGTTACTTGAGTCTTTTTTCACACAGGAAATAAAAATTTGACTCTAGGGTTTTATGTAAGAGTATTTCCCCCTGCTCTGTTGTTGATTATGAATTATTTATTTTTAAATATATTTTATTGATTTTGTACAGATAGGAAGGGAGAGAGATAGAGAGTTAGAAACATCGATGATAGAGAGTCATGGATCAGCTGCCTCTTGCACACCCCCTACTGGGGATATGCCCACAACCAAGGTACATGCCCTTGACCGGAATCGAACCCGGGACCCTTCAGTCCCCAAGCCGACGCTCTATCCATTGAGCCAAACTGGTTTCGGCTGATTATGAATTATTTTAAATTTTATTCATAGAGCTGAATAAAAATGCAAGAATGGAAAAAGGCAGATTCAAAGGTTTACAAAAGAAAATGTAACATTTAGTCTAAGGGAATTTAAAGTCAATATATTGATTTTTTTTAAAAATCTATTTTTATTGATTTCAGAGAGGAAGGGAGAGGGGGGGAGAGAGAAACATCAATGATGAGAAATACTGACCTGCTGACTCCTGCACGGCCCCTACTGGGGATCGAGCCCGCAACCCAAGCATGTGCCCTTGACCAGAATCGAACCTGACAGGCTGATGTGGATTTTAACTTAATCTTTTCAAGTGAGAGTGAGTTACAAATGTATTTTTAAAACTGTATGTGTCTCAAGTTCTGTATATGGGCCTATGTTGGAAGCTGCCCATTGCCTTCACTAAAAGAGAGGTGCGGACAAGGAACCCGGAAGGCTGGTCAGCCTGAAGCTCTGAAAGGTCAGGGCCAACCACCCACAGTCTAGTTGAGACAAGGGAGCTAAGCAACTTCCACCTTTTAGCTTTATGTAAATCCTTGCTGATTGGCTATTATTGGAATTGCCTGCCAAAGGGATATGGGTGTATCCCATAATCTCAATAAAAGGGAGAGCAAGGCCAGAGCGGGGTGGAGTCCTTGCCCTTGAGTTGGACTCCCGCTTGACCCCAATATTTCCAAATTAATATGTACATGTCTCTCTCATTTGTGTGCAACTTCCTCCAGAGCCAGAACCCTGAACCTGAACCCTGAACACTTGCAACTGGCAACCCAAACGTGGGCGGTCATATTTGCAGGCCTGCGCCCCTAAATTTCACTGCTGTAATGACTTAATGGCCACAAAGCACACAGGGTCACTCAGTTCTGACAAACTTTCTTATAACTCTCCTACCTATTACCCACTCCATCAACCTGCCTACACCTGATGCTACACTCAGACCAGGACTAGTATCTGTGCGCTTATCCAGTGTGCTGACCTTCACTTCCTGGAGGATATGAAACCTAGTTTTCCATCTCCATCTCTCTTGGGTCATACCCATCAGTATGTACTAGTAAAGTCTTAGTCTTTAAAGAAAATTTTCTTGAAAAAAACTGCAATTTCTTTCTCTTCATCTAGCCTTTCAACCTACTCCAGTTGCTTTCCTACCTTTCTCAGTCCACAGAGTGACTCCTGATATAGGGCCAACTAATGATTTCCTGCTTGCCAAGTCCATTAGTCACCTGTTTGTATCTCAGTTGGCATCTCCATGGCATTCAATCTTATTGACTCTGCCCTCTTTTCTTGGCAGACTTCCACTGGTGAACCCTTTCCAGGAATGGCCAGCCACTGCTACATACCTGCACTCTGTTTCTGGATAAGCTCATTGACCCCTGGATATCTATCTCCATTCCTAACTTCTCACAATCCTGGACTTTAGCATTTGCCTCTGACCTCACTGCTCAGATACCTAGTAGATATCTAAAAAATTAACATCTAAAAGGTGACCACATAATATACAATGTATTTCAAACTGAGACCACTGAGAAGGCACCACTGAAAGCATCTAGTTTCTCCAAGGGTTTCCCATCGCACTCAGAATGAGATTCTGCTCTTCAGATGGACAATAATACTCATCTTATCCTGCACCACTCTCCTTGCCCCTCAACCTGCTCCCATTGTACTACTATTCCTTTTCTTGAACAAACATCCCCATGAGATTTTGGGTGAGTAACTAACCCTCTGTGTGCCTGAATCTCCTCATCTGCAGACCAGTAAACAATGGCACCGAACTCCTAGTGTTGCAAAGCACAGTGTACTTGGCTCTCAGTGATGCGTAGATTTCTTTCCTAAGGAACTTAACGGAACTGGATAGTGAGGGCTACTTGCATTTGCTAAAGACATGGCCTGCATTTTTCATATTTTCCTTAAGAAAAGGCCATGCACACCTAGTGCACAGAGGCTTGACTATCAGAGTCAATTGTTTGGTTGTTAGAAAGTTCAAATTCCACAGCTGAAAGTGGGCCAGTCTTTATCTGGGTAATGTTTATCTTGGCAAGATTTAGAAATAGAAATGTGAAATGCTACTTAAGTACCAACCATCACACACTTTCCCTTTTCTAGGCAGACCTGCATTTTCAGGAAGTTCTTAAAAATGCTCCATGTACTTCCAATGTATATGAATTAGATCATTTCAAATTGAAGGCATTTTACAGAGAAGTTTTCATGAAAATCCCTAAATTTGTTGGTACTCACTCTTTTGGCAGGTCAGGGAGGGGTGACTTTTTTCATGCCAACTCATAAGCAATCCTTTTTCTACTCACAAGGTTTGAAAAGAAGCTGGATCACAGTAAATCTGTGCTGTCACTTGGCAGCTGAGCGGCCTCTTTAAGCTTCAGTTTCCTCATCTGTAAATGGGGAAAGTAATGAATGCACTTAAAAGCACTTCATGAGAGAGAAAAATGGTCAATTTTAAACAACCATACAAATAAGCTCTTGTTCTTTCTGGATGAGTAATTCTTGGTTCTGAAAGACACTCATTCCAACTAGGAGATAAAATCAGCTTTCTCTAAAAAAATGTATTAGAAATCTGTTGATGTTTCACTTTAACACTACAGAACTCACACCATGGCAGTGATGTTTCAGAGCTGGTGGTGAGGAAGAAAGCTGGGTCTACATCCCAGGTGAAATGTGCTAGATAAATTTAAAAGACACTTGTTTCCCTAGTTTGGTGGTTGAGTGTCAACCAGTGAATCAGGATGTCATGGTTTGACTCCCAAACCGGGCATATGCCCAGGTTGCAGGCTCGATTCTCAGTAGGGGATGTGCAGGAGGCAGCTGATCAATGATTCTCTCTCATCATTGATGTTTCTCTCTTCCTCTCCCTCTCTCTAAAATCAATAAAAATAAGTTGTTTTTTTTTTAAAAATTGACACTTGTCAGTTTCTTAGAAATGATTCACTAATAACATATCACACTAATGTGCCATTGAATAATACAAGATTTTTTAAAAAAATAGCCTAAGATCAAAATTAGCAACTTTTATTTAAAACAAATGTAATTTATATTTTTTAATATAGCATGTGAGTTGGGGGATATGTACTTCGAGGTAAAACGACTGACTACAAACAGCCTGACTCCTGTGTCTTTGCTCCGCAGTTTCACTCTGCACCGCCAGGGGGAAGCAGAATCAGCCAGTTACTCATCAACATGTAACGGTGCCACAGGATTAAATAATGGCCTTCCTTTTTTGGCCTGGATTTTACCAAAGTTAGCCTCAAACTCTTTTTTCGTCCCATTTAGACTGGCTAGGTGTCCATCCTTTACTCTGTAGCCCAAGGAATTCAGTTTCCTTATCCTGTACTGCACTATCTGCGGTGTTAATTCCAGAACCATGGGCGTTTCTCTTATTTGAGCTATGGAAATTCCTTCTTTCAATAATCCCTGCATTCTCTCTTCCAAAATGGGAACGGAATAATACAAAAGGGCAGGACATTTCAAAACTAACTGCTTCAGGTCATGATCTGTGCATTTAAAAGCATCTTTAGAGAAGGAAATACTGTTCTGTATACTTTTTGGACCAAGTTGAAAGAGAAACCCTTTCAGTTTAGACAGAAGTTGGAGAATTTCAGAGTCTGTGAAACCTTGCTCCTGGAGAAATTCCAGTGTTTCCTTTATAGCTGCTGGAGAATTTAACAAAATGAATGGGTTTTGGCTTAATAACTTTAGTAACCAAACTTTCATGTTGGTCTCAGAGCTACCTAAATTTAGATAGCTCTCTTGGAGAATCCTTATCACCTGCTTATTCTTCTCAACAGGATTATTAAAAATACTAGGTGCAGTTGTCAAAAATCTGCTAATGACCACATTTTTGAGTCCCAGCTCTTGAAAGAACTGAACATTCCGTTTCCGGTTCTCCGGGTCTTGAACGGTAAAGAAAGATTCTGGAAACTGTTCTATTAACTTGACCAACTCTTCCTCACTTTTGCAGACGGACTGCCAGAGTTCCCTCTGGGAGTTAACAGCGGTTGGACTGCAGACAATGGCTTCAGGGCAGCGTTCCAAAATGCTGGCTACTGCAGTCTCACTGGCACCTACTTGTTGTAAAATATTTGCAATTTCTTCAACGTAGGTCTCATCCTCCAAAAGGACCCATCCTTTCAATCTGCGTATTTTCCTGATGTCAACTGAAAACTGATGGAGCTTTTCCACTGTTCTTTGATTTTCCTTGTTAGGCCGATGGTTAGTTGTATAGGTGAAGCCAGCTAAAAAAGGTCTGTGTTTGGGAGCTGGTAGCATCTTTCTGGAAGAACACAGCCTGCAAGGCTGGGATCGCAGCAGCAACTTCCACAGCATGCCTGACATCCACAGCTAATCCCCGCTGTACGGGGACGCAGGAGGTACTCAGGGGGCCTGTGAGAGAGAAAATACAGGATTTAACACATGGGCTGTTGCCTTGTGGAACACAAACCTGAGCTGCAAGCAGTAAGTGTTGAAGTAACATGGATTTCAATTAGACAGGAAAACGATGCAGGTGGAATATTAAATATGTCCTCTTACATGATCTGTAAAGTAACTACTTCTTCACAATTTAGACATCTTATATTTTTTAAGTACATTGTCATCTGAGCTTTGCAGCAACCTTGTGAAGTGGTTATTTCTCTTTTACGGGGCAGTAGCAAGACCACAAAAAGTTCAAAGAATCACAGACCGTAGATGTTATTTTGACACAATTTCTCCCTCCTACAACTCTGATAGGTTTCTCTTTAGGAGACATATATTACTTACTTACATACACACAGAGGTTCCTTGTTCTTAACATTTTGCATTTTCAAGGGGATATTTAGCAGAAGCAAATGCTTATTAAAAAAGGGGGGGGGAGGGGCGTCATCTCTAATTTTATATTTCAGAGAAAATATTTTTGCTGAATAACTAACTACCCAAATAAGTCAATGAATTTGTTTTATTTAAACTGAGTCAATAAATATATGCTTGTTCTATGAGAATTATGTGAAAACATTTTTTATAAGTCCAGAATTAAAATAAGTCTTAGCCAGGTACAGTGAGAGAGGTGTGTGACTGCCCCAGCGGAGCCATGAGAGTGGCATGTCAGCTGTGGAATGGGGACCATCCTATATAATAAGGAATATGCAATCTGACCATCATGCCGTGTCACAAGATGGCTGCGCCCACGGCAGAGGCCAGGTTCCCATAACGAGCCTTAACAAACAATCAGCAGGAACCTAAGGTTTGACAGGGACCTCAAAGTGTGCCCCCTGCCCGACCCAAGCCAGGCTGACCTCAGGCTGCACACTCTGCCCTGGGCCGGGGGACCTGAGGCTGTGACTCCCACCCAGTGGGGCTTGACGAAGGTGGGGCCGGTGGGTCTGTATCTAGCCCAATGGGGGTGGGGCCAGCTGGGTCTGGGTCTTGCACAATTTCGGCACACTTGGGTGGGCAGGGACTTGACTCTGGCTCCAGTGGTGCGACCCAGACTCTGACAGGAGAAAGATTTTCATATACATTTTACTAATTTCCTTTCATCTCTGACTCTTCTATTATAAAGAAAAGCCAAATAGCAATATTAAAACATTTCCTCTAATTTCCTTTTTTTTAAAAAATTTTATTTTATTTATTTTTTACAGAGAGAAAGAGAGAGGGAGAGAGTTAGAAACATCGATGAGAGAGAATCATCTCTTGCTGCCTCTTGCACACCCTGAACTGGGGATGTGCCCACAACCAAGGTACATGCCCTTGACCGGAATTAAACCCGGGACCTTTCAGTCCGCAGGCCAACGCTCAGTCCACTGAGCCAAACCGGTTTCAGCTAATTCCTTTTTAATGTGAACAAATTTCATGCACTGAGTCACTAGTACGTTGTAACAGTTTAACCAGCTTTCCCCACTTGACAGCTTCAGCTACCTACAGATGCTATACTGTGCCTGCCTGATGCATTGTAGCCTTTGCACTATTTTCTCATATTTCTGGTAATGAAAAAAAGCCTCATGTTTTAATTTTTGGTGCCTGAGATTGAAGTGTCTTGGCTCTACCAAAAAGTGTAGTACTGTTATTTGAATAATTAACAGTATTTCCTTAGTATTTGTAGGTTTGAAGGAAAACGGAAGGGGGGGGGGGCGGGAGAGCCATTTCCAATCCCTGCCTTTAATAATTAATGCCTTTGCCATATATGCCAAGGGCACCTCACTTTTTATTTATTTATTTTTTATTTTTTTAAAGATATATTTTATTGATTTTATACAGAGAGGAAGAGAGAGAGAGAGATAGAAACATCGATGAGAGAGAATCATCGATCAGCTGCCTCTTGCACATCCCCTACTGGGGATGTGCCCGCAACCAAGGTACATGCCCTTTACTGGAATCGAACCCGGGACCTTTCAGTCCCCAAGCCGACGCTCTATCCACTGAGCCAAACCAGTTTCGGCCAACACCTCATTTTTAAAAAAATATATATTTTTAATAGATTTTTTTACAGAAGGTAAAGGAGAGGTTAGAGAGAGTTAGAAACATCAGTGAGAGAGAAACATCCATCAGCTGCTTCTTGCATACACTCCACTGGGAATTTGCCCGCAACCAAGGTATGTGCCTTTGACCAGAACCGAACCTGGGACCCTTCAGTCCGCAGGCCGACACTCTATCTACTGAGTCAAAACCTGGTTAGGGCAAGGACTCCTCATTTTCAAGTCCTAACTACACCAAATAAATGATTATTCTATTCTCTAAGGAAAAATAACAGAGAACAATGCTCTCATTTTGGTTTACTTTTGGTGAAATAGCTCAGTTAGTGCCTATGATGTCAAAAGTAATTGTAAGCATAGTTTCTGTTTTACTTCTAGTAGTTCAACCAGAGTTTTCTTTTTTTAATTTTATTTTAATTAAATTATTATCTGTGTACATATCTTACCATTCCCCCCCTCAACCAGAGTTTTCTTCAGACAATTACCAATACCAGTTTCCTTAAATAACTCTCTAAAAGCCAAGATATAAATAATATTTTTTAAGTTTCTGAGAAGATCAAGGATTTTAACAGCAAGGAGGTACATCTAGGCTGGAGTCCCACACCCCACTCTCATGGAATTCCACAGCTTCGAGCCTCACACCTGAACCACCAGCTGGAAGGAGTATGGCTCAGCAGCCAAACTCACCAACTGCCCTGGCTCTAATTTATGGGATCATCTTGGGAAAGTTACTTAACTTCAGATTAAACAGGCAGTAACTAGAATATAGCCTCACAGTAAATGTTCAATAAGATTAAAACAACAATAGCATCATGAATGTAGTACAACAGCAGGCAAACCTTATAGGAATATTGCGAGGGTTAAGATGCACACCAAGTACTTTGTCCACAGCCTGGTATGTTATAAGTGCTCAATAAATGGTAGCCATTACTAGGAAACATGGAGCTAAAATGTTTATAGTATTGTGACTTTAAATTGTATTTTAGACAGAAGTACATTATACAAAGAATAACTGAAAACTGTGAAAACTGTATTATAAATGCTCTTATAAGCAAATAACTGTTTATGAAAGTAATACACTCTCACTATAGAGAATCTGCCAAATTCTGAAAAGTATAAGGAAATGGCCGAAACCGGTTTGGCTCAGTGGATAGCGTGTCAGTCTGCGGACTGAAAGGTCCCAGGTTTGATTCCGGTCAAGGGCATGTACCGTGGTTGCGGGCACATCCCCAGTAGGGGGTGTGCAAGAGGCAGATAATTGATGATTCTCATCAATGTTTCTAACTCTCCATCCCTCTCTCCTCCTCTCTGTAAAAAATCAATAAAATATATTTTTTTAAAAAGTATAAGAAAACGGAAAAAAATCTTTCACAATCCCAACACCTATAGAAAACTATTCCTATTTTAACATGTAAGTACAGTTTTATTCTATGCTTCTTGCCCCCTTTATTATATTTTCTAAATGCATAAATCTGCCTTATACATCACAATTAGGTTCTAAGCTCAGTCTATCAAGTGAAAATTGCAGAAACTCAAAAATTTCCTTGAAAATCTCCTAAGCAGGCACCACACTGAATACCACCTTGCTACCTTCTTCTGTAAGTCCCCGCCATGGGCTCCTCCAGGCCCGGAACAGATCCCAGTGTTTGGCTAAGCACCAGGCGAAGCAGTTGGCTCACTCTGGAGTTACATTATAAAAAGTGACAGATCATTACATATCAGAACTACGGTGACCACAGCATGCCGTTCTCGCCCAGTGAGGCTAAGGGAGAAGCGGGCTGCCTCCCACTGCCTGCTCACTCGCTCAGGTGAGTTGTCTGAGCAAATAAAGCTGTCTATCTTGCTCTAGCTCTTTCTCTGATGAACAGAGTTGACTATAAAAGTGGAAAGCACAAATGCTGTGGCTCCTCTACAATCAATACACATTGTACACGGGTGGGCAAAAGTAGGTTTACAGTTGTAGTACTAACAAAATATTTTATAATAAAAGCTTCATATGCAAATTGTTCCCTTGACCAAGAGTTCGAGCGCTTGCTGGAATGTGTGCTGACCACCAGGGGATGGCACGGAACATGATGGGCATCAGCAACACTGCACTGGCAGCGGGCAGCAGTGGAGGTGCTGTCAGCCTGATGGGCCCCCAATGAGAGCAGGATCTTGGTGGGATGGTGGAGCAGGTGAGGGGGCAGTGCCAGACCAAGGTGGATTGCAGGGGTGGGGGTGAGGGGCTGTGAGGCTGGGTGTGCGAGCTGGGGCCCAATCTCCACAGGCCACTCCGAGGGATCCCACCAGTGCACAAATTTGTGCATCGACTCTAGCAATAAATAAAAATACAAGAATAAACTCTTGCGTTTTGTGTACACAACTGTAAACCTACTTTTGCCTACCTTGGCATCAAAAGTGCTCTAAATATATAAAATGACTGCATGAGCCGAAACCGGTTTGGCTCAGTGGTAGAGCGTCGGTCTGTGGACTGAAAGGTCCCAGGTTCGATTCGGGTCAAGGGCATGTACTTTAGTTGCGGGCACATCCCCTGTAGGGGGTATGCAAGAGGCAGCTGGTCGATGTTTCTCTCTCATGGACATTTCTAGCTATCTCTCTCCCTTCCTCTCTGTGAAAAATCAATAAAATATATTTTAAAAAAATAATAAAATAAAATAAAATAAAATGACTGCATGATATATGGGATGAATATACACTAATTTTGTAATTTATTTCCTAGTATTGAGCAGTTGGGCTATTTGTAATTTTTGCTATATGCTAGATATCTGCTGCACATTTCATCCTTTTCCCTTTAGGATGAACTTTTAGGAATAGAATTACTGAAGAGGAGATGTGTGAAGTTCAGTTGTTAATGAACTACCCAGAAAAACTAACCCAACCTATATT